CATGATTTGTTTTGTTTAGGTTTCTGTATCTGTATTTTTTGTTTTGATAAAAATCTGTTTCAAAACGGCAAGGAAACACACACATTTGAGATAATACCTTTTTTTCCTTCCAGTATATTTTGTCTGAATCACATTACTTGTTAACTGAGCAGAAAGAGCTTTAGTAGAAGAGGCAATTTGCAATCACAGTACAGTCTAAATAAATAGTTACTAACAGTGGTAACATTAGTTGCCCTAAGATTCTATTAACAAGGGAGTTTTCCATGTCATCATTGCCTAGAAGCCAATTTGTAGAGCAGAGACTGCTAGGTCATGGGTGCCTGTGTGGCACTGTTTCCCAAGTGTACCACCTGCATCACAAGTATCCTGTTTATAATGCATATTCCTGGACTCCAACCAGAAATTCAGATTCAGAAGATGAGATGGGCAGCAATGCTCTATGCTGTAAGTTCATCCTAGATTTATTTAAAAACACAAAAGCTCTATCTAAACAGTACCTTCCTGGTCTGGTCAAAGAACTGAAGACAAGAAACTCTACGCTGGTGCCCAAACCACTATCTATAACAATATTGGTCAATTTTCTAGGATGAGCACCTAGAAATTTTGTTATTAGTGTTTGATGTGGTAATGGCTTAAGGACATACTCCTCGTTCTTCCTAACCAGGAAAATAAAACAGAGAATGTTATTTCTATGTGGGCAACTAACTGAATTGCAATAGAAAAGACTTAGACTCAGATTAGTTTTTTCCAGACCCTAAAGCTTAAAACTTTAAACTCTCAATCCAATGTGACAACCAGATCTGGCTAAACTAAATTAGAGGCACAATTTAAACTTTAGATGTTCCAAAGATTTTCTGGGCTTGTGAACAGTTTCCTTAATCTCAGAAACCTATAATATTTCCATCTGAAGATTTAATATTGAATTCCCCCAAAAACTGTTTAACAGTATTGTTTCTTGGGAGTTATTTATATAGATCTTATGGATGTTGGCAAAACCGTATCCAAAATGGAAAATGAAAGCTTTTAGAGAAAACTGTAATGTCAAATTTTATACCTATAGTATGTATAATGTACATATATAAGTGTATATATGTATATATGTATATGTGTGTGTGAATAAAAATTCAGAGCTTGTTATGCTAACTAGCAGGGTGAGAAGGTGTAGTAGGGGATTGGAAACACCCATCAAGTTATTAGACAGAGGGGTGGCAATGCTAGCTGTAGCAATGGGATATAATGGGCGGAAGTCCAAAGTCATACAGCTGACTGTGGCCCTCGATCTCTAGAGCATAAAGGAATTACCTGGAGGGACTTGTTAAATGAGCTTCTTGGGTCCTGCCACAGGGATTCTGATTGGTTGCGAATCTGCACTTTTATAAGCTCCTTGGGTGAAGTCTGCACCGGGTGGTCAAGAAGTGATGCTTTGAAGAATCTTCAACAAGCTGGCAATAAGTTTCATCGATGTCCAGTAAGGAATCATATCTTGGCAGCAATCCAGAACAAGTGAGTAGCAGCTAAGAGGTCTGAGGTGCAGGTAGGCAGGCTAACAGACTGCATTCGTTTCTCAGGGCTGCCATAATAAATGATCACACACTGGGGAGCTGAAAACAACAGAAATTTATTCTATCACAGGTCTAGTGGCCAGAAGTCTGAAAGGAAAGTGTTGGCAGGGTTCCGCTCCCTCCAGAGGCTCTAGGGGAGATTCTGTTCCTTGCTTCCTCCAGCTTCCGGTGGCTGTTGGCATTCCTTGTCTTCTGCTGCTCATCCTAACCTCTGCCTCTGTCTTCATGTCTCCACGTGGCCAACTCCTCCTCTCTGTATGTCTCTCTTCTGGGTGTCTCTCTCTCTTTTTTTTTAATTCAGAGAGGAGCACGAGGCTTTGTGTTTCTTTCTTTCTTTTTTATAAATTTATTTATTTTATTTATTTTTGGCTGCATTGGGTCTTCGTTGCTGCGCGCGGGCTTTCTCTAGTTGCGGCGAGCTGGAGCCACTCTTCGTTGTGGTGCGCGGGCTTCTCATTGCGGTGGCTTCTCTTGTTGCAGAGCGTGGGTTCTAGGCGCGCGAGGCTTCAGTAGTTGTGGCTCGTGGGCTCTAGAGCGAGGCTTCAGTAGTTGTGGCGCACGGGCTTAGTTGCTCCACAGCATGTGGGATCTTCCCGGACCAGGGCTCGAACCCATATCCCCTGCACTGGCAGGCGGATTCTTAAGCACTGTGCCACCAGGGAAGCCCCTAGGTGTCTCTTATGAGAACATTTGTCATTAGATTTAGGGTCCATCCAGATAATCCAGAATGATCTCATTTCAAGATTCTTAACTTAATTACACCTGCAAAGACCCTTTTTCCAAATAAGGGCACAACCACAGGTTCTAGAGATTAGGACAAAGACATGTTTTGGGGGGACAGGCACCACTCAAACAACAACACAGGCCGATTCTGGGACAATTAGCTGCCTTGGGTCACTGTCAGAGCAAGGGAAAGGGTGGCAGTGATTGGCAAGAATAGTCTGGCTCTAGTGCTAGAGCAGTCTGACCTTCGCAGGAAGGTCTTGGGGACTCAGACTAAGTAACCAACCGGAAGCTGCCTGTGAACAGACGAGCAGGTTAGAGTAGGATGAGCAGCAGAGCTGACTTTATTACCTTGAACTTCTGAGTCAGGATTCTATAATCCCTACTAACCAAGACGCAATTGTGCTCCCACCCTGTGACAAAGCGAAGCTGCCACAGTAAGTGGACATCTGGGGCAGTATGAAGATTAGAGGTTGGGAGTCAGCTTGGACTACAAAGAGCTGCAAACACAATCACACAAACAAGTAGAATCATAAATACCTACCACTTATTGAGCACTTGCTGTATACCTGGTAAAGTGCCATTATTATTGCCTCTTTTCATCATAATCTTGCAATACTGGTACTACAATATGGGTTCCCATTGAACATACAAGAACACAGAATTTTAAAGATTAAAGTTATATAGCCAATCAGTGGCAGAGCTAGAATTTAAACCAGATCACTCTGGCTCCAAAGCCCATTTTCTTTCTTCTAAAACATGCTACCTCTCCACAAATTAATAGCCTGGCCCAAATTTTAGCATCTTAACTTCTAACACCTCGTCTTCTCTCTTTGAACCCTTCCCACCCCATCCTGTGGTTCACTAGGCATAAAATGTCAAAACATCTGTTTCTCTATCGAATACCCTACATGAAAAATTATAACTTGGCTAAGGTAGAATGGTAAATATTTCAAAGCTTTCTAAACCAGAACCACAGGTGTGAATCTAGATGGTGAACACTTGCTCCCTTGTGACTGTGTTATATCCATCTTACTGTGACCAGTGAAGAGAAGTGTGAGTTCAAGCAGAGATTCTGTGCACAGTCCCAGGTCCTAGACTTGTCTCTAATCTTAAAATGCAAGTCTTATAATGACTGTGCATGTTGCACCATTCCCTCCTCCCACAAGAGCCACCAAATGCATGCTGCCAGTGACGTTCTACAGCTGGTGATATCCAAGTAGTTACAGTACAAGTTTCCTCCATAGTGACCCACAGTGGAAAGTAACTTTGATGGAACAAGGTCAAGGAAGTTGCTAATACCTTATGCCTCTAGCCCAACCAGCAATTGATGCCCCTTGAATACCACCTAATCTGCCCTAAAGATAGTGTCAGTTTGATGACACATATCATTTATGTCAGTAAATGTTTGGCTACTGGGCCTTGGATCCTCAATTAGCTTGAGTGCAAGACCAAAATATTCCTGAGCCTGGTGCAAGGTGTAACAGTACTTTGAGTTCACCCTATTTCAGGTAACAGGACTGAAGTAGTAAGGACTCCTAGCCTGAACTGACATATCTTGTCAGGCCTTTCAGAAGACTGAGCATATGAGCTTTGAAAATTAATAATAATAAAAGTCTTGCAAAAGGGCTTGAGGTATTGCAATGCTCATCACCCAGTGAGCACCAGATCAGCAGCTATTTTGTGCAGTTCTCAGTGACCGGAACTGTAAATGATGACCTGACCTAGGTACACCTTTTCCCACAAACTGCCAGGGTCCCTTTTCCTGCTCAGTCTCACAGGCGCAATCTTCAATTTTAAGACCCATGAACACTTGCACCAACACAGAAGTCAATTTGACAATAATTTAATATTTTTCTGGTGGCAATTTCTAGTTTACTTTAAAAAATTCTTTTAAAATATTTTGGAATAGGTTTGGGTCATTGTGTCAGAGAACTTGGTAGGATACCGAAACTGTAAAGTGCTCGTGGCCAGCGTGCAGTGTTTGTTAGGAGCAAGACGTCATCGTGGGAAGCACGTACTTCTTCGGATTACTGTTTGGCGGATTAGAAACACGCAAATAAGTCCTAGGTTAGCCCAGATTAACTGCCCTGGGTGCTTCTGGGCCAGTGGGTAGGGTTTTGGGAGTGTCTGCTGGACTCAAACCAGTACTTGTGGTAAGATTTCACTCGGCAAAGCATTCGGAGTTAATTTTTATTTAAACCCCATCCAGGCTAATAACGAAGCTACCGGTAATGATCTGGAATGGTAACTAAATGGTGCCCGCAATCACGTCAGTCGAACCTTCTGCCCCCACTATTCTGTCGGCCCACATGCTTCTGTCCATCAGCCTCGGCCTCGGGATCAGCTCTCGCCGCGGCATTGGTCGGATTTCAGGAAGAGAGAAACCCGCGATTTAAAGGGCTCGGTTTCCACCTGCCAGGCGTCGTTCGCAAGGTCCAACTTGCCTTTGGCACATACTTGGGAGAATCTCTCGCTGTTGTTCATCTATTACACTGACTGGTCAAACAGAAGAGAGTTCCCGAAAGTGTCCCCTTTAGTCACCTTGACAATTTACAAAAGCGAAACTTGTGCTCTAGGTTAGATCCACACTGAGTCTGCGGGGCGCGGAGTCCCTGCCCAGGTCAGCAGTGCCCGCCCGGCTGGCGGGCGGGGACGGGGGCGGAGCCTGCACCAGGCGTGGTCTTCCGTGGGAGAGAAGGCGGACTTTACCCCCACCTCCTAAAACACCTACTCCCTCCCAGCCAATCAAGGAAGCATATGCAAATAGCGCTCCTGTCGCCCCGGCAACCATGATGCACGGCAGCCAATGGAAACCGGCAGGTTGCGACCCTGCTCCGTGATTGGGACGGAAGGAAGGAGACACAGGCCCAATGGGCTGTGGGAACGGTCCTCGGCGGGTTGAGGGGCGGGGATATGCAAATATGGTTTGAAAAGCCGGCGGGAAATCTGAGTTTCGCGGGAGGACCTTGGCGCGTAAACCGTATCCCTTCATTCATTGTCAGCAGCAGCTTCCTGGAGCCATTTTTCAGCTGCCGGCCGCAGCACCCGTGCTGCCGCCGCCGCCTCGCAATCCATTGCATCGGCCGCCCCCGACGCCTCCATCCCCCCTCGGGGCCCGATATCCGTGCGCCCGGGACCCTCCTCTCTCCAGAGCCCCGATTATTTTTGGCCCCCGGGGCCCGGGCGGTGCGGAAAAATAAAAAGAAAAGGGAGAGAAGGGGCTCGGAAGCGCCGGGCGGGGAGGAGAGAAGGAGAGACTTGGAAACTCCGACTGCAAATAATAAAGAAATTGAAAACAATACGTTAATATACCATAGCAATAAAAAGAGCAGGAGCGAGAGATGAGAAAGGGGATCCAGCCCGCCCTGGAGCAGTACCTGGTGACCGCCGGGGGTGGGGAGGGGGCGGCTGTCGTCGCCGCCGCCGCTGCAGCCTCCATGGACAAAAGGGCACTGCTAGCCAGCCCCAGCTTCCCCGCCGCCGCCACCGCCGCTGCTGCCGCCGCCCCGAGCGCATACATCCAGATCCTCACCACGAACACTTCCACCACCTCCTGTTCCTCCTCCCTCCAAAGCGGCGCCGTCGCCGCCGGCCCCCTCCTCCCCAGTGCCCCCGGCGTGGAGCAGACCGCCGGCAGCCTCCTCTACACCACGCCGCACGGACCCTCCAGCAGAGCCGGGCTGCTGCAGCAGCCACCAGCGCTGGGACGCGGCGGCGGCGGCGGCGGCGGCGGCCCTCCGGTAATGCCCTCCCGTTCCCACCGTCCCCAGCCCGGGCGGGAGGTGGGCTCGCACCGCGCGGGGTGGTGGGCGCGCTGCGGGCCGCCCTGGGAGAGCGCGGGGCCGAGCGTCGTGGGCCTCGGCGGCTGCCCCTCCAACAAGAGTTTATTGTTAGACTTGTGTGTTGACCCCGAACCCCCGAAGGGTCTGGGGGGCTCCGCCAGGCAAGCAGGGCAGCGGGGATCGCCATGGCGCGAACCACATCAAACACTCCGAAACTTTTCGCGGCCCCCCCCTTCCTTTCCTGCACTTTTCCCTACCCCCACTCTCCCCTCCCCTCCAACTCGAAGCTTCCTCTTTCTCGGGCGTAGGAAGGGGTCACGCCCCGGATGGAGAAGGGGGTGGGGGAGGGAGTAGTGAACTGGGGAGTGGGAGACTCCAGGGGGGTGGAAACCGGGGGGCCCTGGGGGTGATGGCCGCCCGCCGGCCTCGGAGGCCCGTTGGCAGCCGGGGGTCCCTAAGGCGTGCTCGGAGTGCAGGGGCTCTGCCAGGCTGCGCTTGACACATTTTGGGATCTGTAACTGCCGGCAACAAAGGGGCTGGGGGAAGCCGAGGGGAGAGGTGGAGCTGGAAGCCGGCTGCAGGCCGGGGCGTGGGCTGTCTGGGGGTGAGGGGCTAGCGGGCGGGCACCCCGGCCTGGGCGCATCCCGGTGGTGGCAGCGGCGGCGCCCGCGTGGCCCGAGCGCCCGGGCCTGCCTCGCCGGGCCCCGGGCCTGCCCTTGACCCGCCTCTCCCCTTGCCCCTTCCTTCCCCGCCCTGTCCCCCCTCTCCGCCCTCCGGCGACGGAGGGCGGGGGCAGCCGTGTTCCCGTCCCGCCGCCTGGGTCTGTCCCTCTCCCCGGGACCCGCCGGTGACGTTTCGCACACGTGCGCGGAGGACGCGCCTGTGACTGGGGAGGAGGCGGCGGCGGGAGGGGGCGCTGGAGGGGGAGAGGGGGCACCCACTTCCTCCTGCTCGCCGGCTCCCTGGCCTGGGACGGTCCCGGCGCCCTCGCACCCGCCCCCGGAGCGGCCACCCTCCCTCTCCTCTCCCCAACCCCCTCCACGGGCGCCCGCCCTCGCCCGGCGCCGCCGGTCCGTTCGGCCCTCCGGGCCCCCTCTCCAGCCGGCCCCCCCCCCACCTCCCCCCGGAGCCAGGCTGGTTTCGGAAATGCCCTTACAGCAGCAGGTTAGTGACCGGGACGGCTCGGGGGCCGCCGCCGCCGCGGGGGCACCGGATTCTGTTGGGGGTTGGAGCCGTGAGGGTAGGCGGTTGAGCGGGGTTTTGGAGTGGGAACGGGGGGTTGGGTGCTCGAGGGAAATGAGTAAGCAAGAAAAATCTAACTAAGTAAATGCCCGGCCTCCGGTTCTAGGAACCTCGGGGCAGGAGTGTCCGCCCCAGGGGGTGGGTATGGTGTTTACGTGTGTGTTTTTCTAGGGGGCCGAGGGATGGGCGATCGAAAACCGGAGGGGGGGCTTCTCGCCAATGGCCGAGTTGAGCTCTGCTTTCTATCTTCCTTCCCTTGTGCTGGAGGGGGAGGGGGGCGGGTCAGAGGGTAGGGTGTCTGTAGGATTCCCAGGCCACTCGCCACCCCCTCCCTTTGTCCCTGTAATTTATAAAGCGCCTTTGAGAGATGATTTAGGTCAGTATGCGGCTTCTCTTTTTGTTGATACTAGAAAGAAGTGTGGCCCGGAGGTCTTCCTCCTTTCTCCTTTTCTCTCCTTCATTCCCTTCCTCCATGCCTCCTGTCTTCACCCTCGTGGTGAGGCTCGGCCCCCACGAGGCTAGAAACGAACCAAACCCAGTTAGATTAATGGTTGGCTGATAATATCAGTCGTTGACCTCACCTTGTCTCGGCTCCGAATGGGCTGAATTTTTGAAGAATCAAGATTTTGCAGAGGTCTTTAAGAGAGTCGGCACCCAGGCAACACTTTGGGGGATGAGATGGGTTTTGGAATAATGAAAAATTTTAATTCATGACTCTTCCCAATTTCTCCTCGAGTTGGATCTTAACTGCTTTGCAGCCCCAGAGATACTTGCTAGGGATGTGTGATACCGTCTCAGTCAAAGAAGCTCATGGTGTTTTAGTGACTAGGGTCTGCCAGCAGGGGGGAAAGAGTACAGTACCTGCTTACACATAACAGTATCCAGTGTGCCGGATTCTCAGACACGAGAATATGCCACGCTTTTATCAGCATTGAATACTATTACTGACTTGACCTAAACGTGCTTGGATATATTTTAAGCATATTTGCTCCCTCAGGGTTCTGTCACTATATCATAAACCTAATCTGAAACAACCAGCTATTGACATACTTCTGGGACTTGATTCAGATTTATGGGAGGGTAGTTTTGACAATGGGAAATTGTGAGACGACCAGTTTGCTTTTTTTTTTTTTCCTTTTGAATTTTAGCCCACCTGGGCCAGGTCTCTGAAACTGCCTAGCCAAACTTCTATGTAATTCATTGTATTTAAGTATTTAAAGTATAAAAAATTACCCTCACCACCTTTCAAGCTACTTCAAAACTTTATCCTCCTTGCCACGAGATTATTATTCCAGAATCATGAGCACTGTATATAAAGTTTGGTTTCTTTTTTTTTCTTATCAAAATTATATTAGACTTCTATTGAAGTCTTGAACTTTTGTTGATATTCTTTCCCTAAGCAGGAGGGACAGCATGGGGATAGCTAAGTGATTGGCTGAGCAAAGGGATCATTTAAACACTTTCCATCAAAGAAGAGGTTGAGAACTCCCGTTCAAGTGGCCACAGTTACAGACTCACCTGGCTCTGATTCCATGTTCTGTCTCTAGAACAACCAGGAGCATATTCTTCACCTTTTTTTTAACGTGGAAAAAATATATATATATATATATACATATATATACGTATCTCAGTACTACCTTACTAGCTGTAATTGCCTCTGTCATTTACAAGTCGTTGGATCTTAGGCAAATAAACTCTCACAACACAGTTTCCTCTCTTGTAAAATAGGGACAATAACAGTAGGAACTTGAAAGTTCTATTTAAGGGTTAAATATGATAATGCATGTAAAACACTTAGCACAGTGCCAGGTAAATAGTAGATGCCCAATAAAATGAATATTCAGAAATTTATATTTTTTTTGAATTTAGAGAAATAATGTAAGACCATGTGCACACTACTCCTTTGTTGACATATATGAGTAAAATGGTTAAAAGTTTTTAAAAATGATATGTAATTAACTATTTATACCTAGTTAACTTGAGTTTTTAAACCCATAAATCATGGCTCTCCTAAGAATGGATAAAATAGGGACACGTCAGTACCACAGGCCTGTGTTAGAGATGGTGGTGATGAACTGCCCCAGTATGAGCTTGTGCCTTGAGTTGTGACAAATTTAGATCAACTCATCCTCACTTTTTTGCCTCGCTCCTCCCTTGACTGCATGGACCGGCCATCTTTTGCATGCAGCCCGTGCTTAGTGGCTTTTGTGGAACTGAACTCTTAATCATCACCATGTCAGAGACATGCACGAGATAAATTCAGCTCTAGATGGTGAACTGTTGGACATGGAAGGAGTCTAGAGAAACCAGAGTCACAAGTGCTGCATATTTTCTGGAACTGAAAGGGGTTCATCATTTTCTGCCTCTGCTAAAAAGAAGCTGAAATGATTTCATTACGCTTCTAGAAAGTTTGGGATCTATTAATGCAAGAGACAATGGCCTGTCACATCTGATTTAATTTAATCCAGTCATAGCATCCCACTTATTAGACTTTGGGAAGGCACCCACAATGTTTGAAATTTCCCTGTAAGAATGGAGAAACCATAGGTGCTACAGCTGAGTTTCTTTCCTGTATAAATATAAAAGAAGAAAAATGCTGGGTTCCTGTGGTTCTGTAGTCAATAATCTTGCTTCTGCTGAGATAGATGGTTGGTGCCAAGTTTAAGCTAGGAGAGAATTTTTAGTCACTACATACCCCAAAATGGAAGTTTTAATATAATGCAGTGCCCAGACTCAGGCAGTCCAAATAGCTCCACTATAATCAGTACCCAGGGCACCACTCTAATCATCTTCTGAAGCAAAGCACCCTTAAACGTGGCTCTGTGAGCTAAGGAACCCAAGCTTGTGAACAGGAAAGGATTTTTTTTGTTGTCGTTTTTCTATAAATCGTCACCTTATGTAATACTTGGAAGGGTAGATTCTGAGATTAATGTTGTGCTGTGTAAAGCTGACATGAAAACAGAAAATAATACTCTAAGCTCAGTCACGAATAGATGGCAGCGCCTGGAGATTGAAAGGTCGTAGGGAAGAGTGGCTCTTATTCTCATTCTCATAGGTACAATCCATAGTGGTCTTTTATTGCCATCCCCAAAGACACACCATCCGTACCTTTAGCCTTTTTCCAAAGGACCTGGACCCACTTGGCAACGCTTCAGATATTCATAGTTGATTTTTCTGGCCAGTTTTCTAATTTAACATGACTTAACATATATTCCATTTGTACGTCTAGTTCACATCCACTTTCCCAGGCCGACTGACTCCAATTCCTTTTTAATCACCTACTTTCTACTAACATTTTAAACTAGGAAGAGTGAAAAATCAGCCACTGCCTGTGCTGATTAAATCACATCCCTCCTAGATGCCCATGAAACCGCCCCAAATAGTGCAAGGCAAAGAAGGTAGATTGCAGTTCTTATCAGATGCTCTGTTTCATTTTGGTTTTTAAAGAGAGGAACTTCCCTGAATTCTTTGAGGTACTAAGCATGTGGTTTAATGCATATTTTTCGTGCTTGTTAGCAGCTTAAAAGTGTTTCGGGGACTATTTACAATTGCTAAGAAGCATTTTTTCTACTAATCATTTTTCATGGGACTAAGAAGGGGAGCTAACTGGGAAAGCAGTAAGTATAGGAAACCACTAATGGTATCTCCTTCCTCCTACCCTGACCTTCTCTTTGGCTTCCAAGAGTGGCTTGGAAAATGTATCTTACACAAGGAAA